CAAGCCTGCTCGAGCTTTCGTCTAATCGAGACGAGGCAAATTGACATCCCTATTTGAACATGCTTTGATGTATTACATTACACTCTTTGCTAGTAATTCTACTACTGATCCTAGCCTATTGCTCTGTAGCAAATTGGTCTTAGGTTAATCCTTAAGTTTCTTTATAGTTGCACTATCAATCTACAAATCTTGATTAAGTCCCGTTTGCAACAAATTTTAAAATAATTAAGACATGGGAAATTTTGTTTAAATTTTCATTTTCTTAGACATTGAAAAAAATTGAAGATAAATGCTTTTGATTGTACAGGGATTTACCCAAGTGAGATTGGAATCAATTATTAGGCAGGATAAAAGCAAATTAAACGTCCGAATCTAGATAATCAATGCAACCTTAAATAATATTTTTAGTACATTAAAAAACATTTTTAGTAAATATTCTGGCAATTGACATCGAAAATTTATATAGATTCCAAAAGAGATGGGACTATTGATAAGAAAAGACCCACGACAGTTGTCAACTGCATATACGATAGATGTATAGAGTGTTGGTATTAAATTAAGAGCATGTTTGTGTCGGATTAAAATCTGATTTTAATCTAAGTCAAAGTCAAATAATCAATATTAACCACATCTTTCATGATCCCACATCTTTTCAACCACACATTTCAAAAACTTCAATCACAATTCACTAAAAATCTAATTTTAATCCCCACCAAACACTCTCTAAAGTTACTTTCAATGATCTAAGTAGAACATAAGAATAAGCACATGTCCATGGCAATTTTCATCCACATTTTAACAAAATAATGGATCGTTAGCTGTCATAATTGTTAAATTTCTTCACACTACAAGCCGACATGGGACCCAATAACGGTATAAAAATGAATTTTAGCCCATGTTAGGAAGAAATTAAAATCAATTTTTTAGTAAATTTTGATAAATGTAAATAAGATGCGTGGTTGAAAATTTGTGGATCCCATAAAATATATAGTTAAAATTAACTGTTGACTTTGATCTGAAATTTTAATTAATTTTTAATCCAAACCAAACCAGGCTTTCAAATAGTGGAGCTAGACAAGGACTAAATATGAGGAAGGCCATATACACATATAGACAAGGTGTCTAAAGAAGATACAACTAATTATATGCATGGAAAAATTCATAAATAAGGTGTTTACTTTACACCAATTTAAAAATCAGGTTTATAGTTTGAAAATTCAAAAATCAGGTTTTTTGTTTTTTTAATATAATATAATATAATTAACTCACCCCATTTGCACCACCCCTACTGCTCCAGGACTATTTCGACGACCATTCCAATCACCACTTTTTTCCGACGATCGTTCCCGCTACCATTCTGACCACCACTCTTCTCCGACAACTTTTCCGACGACTTGTCTCATATTCATAATTATAAGTCACAGANCTAAATTTAAAAATCAGGTTTATAGTTTGAAAATTCAAAAATCAGGTTTTTTTTTTTAATATAATATAATAAAATATAATTAACCCTCCCCATTTGCACCATCCCTACTACTCCAGGACTATTTCGACGACCATTCCGACCACCAGTTTTTTCCGACGATCGTTCCGGCTACCATTCCGACCACCACTCTTCTCCGACAACTTTTCCGGCGACTTGTCTCATATTCATAATTATAAGTCACAGATTTATTTACTGGTCACATA